CTCTGAAAAAGGCTCCAAGGAAGAATAACAGCAAGATATCTTTCATTAACATGAAAAATAGTAGCATTTTAAAATGTAAGTTTCACTGCTGAGCTGAATTTCCATTTAAGTCCTCCAAACAAGCCTATGGTATCGGTATCACCCATTTTACATTTGGGGCAACTGAGGTTTAGCCAGATTCTCTACCTTGCTCAAGGACTCATAGCTAGTAAGTTCTGGAGCTGGAATTTTGGTCACATGCTTCTGACTCTATTTCATTGTTTCATTGTGACACAAGCAGAGAAAATTACAGGATGGAGACAGTCAGTGATTACTCATTGAAACCAGGGCTGTCCTGGGTTCAGCGGGCACGTGAAGCTAGGGAAGCCGCACAAGGGGCATTGATCATCTGACACCAAGGTGCTTCACCTCTGTGGCCCTCAACGTCTTCATCCATAAATGTGAGGTTAATTATGGCGTGTTCCTCACTGGTTTGCTGTTAAGAAAAAAGTCAACGTGTGTGTTGTGTATATACAGACATACCTATGTTCATCGTATGTACTGCACAGGAGAGCTACCTCTGTAAACCAATAAAATCCTTTTGAAAAGTAGTAACTGGATTGTACATAGCAAGACCCATAAAAATATTTATGTCTTTGGCCCAGGAATCCTACTTTTGGAAATAAGACTCTAAAGGAATGATTCAAAAGATTTTTTTAAAGTGTGTTTAATGGAAGAGGAAAGTAGAAATAATGAAAGTATCAAGATATGAAATACATTATATCTTCCCTCAATTATGCTATGTTACTAAATGTGGTAAAAACACAGAACATATAGAGCACATGATGCTAAGTGGATACACAGTGCTGTTTGAACTAAGTACACATGGATTTGGATAGAGGCAAGCAGGAAACACAGACACGTGAGGGCTTCCGGGGGTCCCATTAAGGAGGAGTGTTGCAGCAGTGCTCGCTTTTATGTCTTGTGTAATGGCAGCCTTGTGGTAGGTACAGGTGGTGCAGAAGATGCATAAAACTTTGGGAAGGAAGGTAAAAGCACAAGGGACATTTTAAAAATCAGCATGGTAAAACATCCAGGAAATGGAAATTTAAATGTAAAACTTGAGCAGAGCATTTAAGGGAAATGGGTACTGCGGGAGGTGCTGGAGAATTTGTAAGCGGGTCAGGCTCTATATCGGGTCCTGCCGAGAAAACTTCAAAGCCAGAATGCGTGAGAGTTGCTCTCCCCTGTGACCCTCTCTCTGCTCAGAAGTCTGTGATAATAGCCAGAAAGGAAAGAGGAAAGAGAAGCCATATGCACAGTGTACTTGAGCTCATCAGAACTGTGCTGTGTGTGGAACAAGGGAGGAAGGCCGGACAAGGCTGAGTGAGTCAGTGTTTGGGCTCCCTCCTCCCAGTTCTCCCCCTTTCCCACGCCGCCTCCCCTCCACCACTGTGCTCCTGAGCCCTGCAAGGAAGGAACTCCAGATGGCTGGGTGGGGCGAGCCCAGTCTGAGTACGCTGCCCTCCGCACCAGGTCCAGGAGCCATGGTGGTTATCTAGATCACATCGTGCATTAGGAATTTCTCTGCCCTCTTTTCCCAGAGCTTCTGAAATGTCACAGTCCCTTCAACACTGTAGGTCCCAGAAGTAGTTCATGATTTTTGAGCAGTGTGAGGAGCAACCAAAGTGCTTCATTAATAGTTATGTGAAAGCACTAAGGGTTACCAAGGGCAGCTATGGTAAATAATGAGCAATGGGTAGAGGAATGGCGGTCCTTAACAGAGAATCTGCTTCTACCCCAAAGCAGAAGCCATTATTCCTACCCTCCATGCACAGCAAAGAGCGCACAGTTGAGGAACATAGGCACCCATGTCTTCTTCGGACTGTAAGGTCAAGACATTGGGAGAGGATGCACTCTTTCCTTCAGAGTAGCTGGGATGGTCTGAGCTGCCCGGTGGTTGCCATCTGGAGGGACCCTCGTCTCAGTCAGCTAACAGAGCCTGCTGGGTGACCTTTGTGTCTTTCCTCTTAAACATCTGGACTCTTCCTGTTCTAATTCACCAGGAATTGCACTTACATTTCAGGCACCAAGATAAACACTAAACTTGCAGTTCCAGTCCCAGCTCTTCACAAGTTCTTAGCTCTCCTCTCAGGAATCCAATCTTAGAAAAGCAGTCCTAGGTACCTTGCATGCAGAGATCTTTGAGCAGTTTTGTAGCTTTATTTTGGAGCGCTTTGAAATTATCAAGAGAAGATAAGGGAACAACAATTGCTGTTAATTTGCAGAGATCAGGAAAGGATGGCTCATTTGCTCGGGACTGCAGCACATTTTCTTGAATTCGCTATTCCTCTCCTTATCCCAGGTCCATCCTTAGCATCCTCACCCCTACCTTCAACAAATGCGGACTTAGTGGGAGGGGGCACACAACAGTAACCCATAGTCACCCAAGCTCTCAGCCACCCAAACAGCAGCAAGCAAACCCTGTGGGGAAACCCTGAAATGAGAACAGGGAACAAGAAAAGAGAACACTGTTCAACAATAACCATATGCCCATTAATATTCCATTGTGTTTTGCATAGGAACCCATTATTTATGCCCTTTTCTCTGTAACCAAAAATCGTATGTTCCCAACAAACAATTTATAGGTAAGAAATCTATGTTTTGCAACTGGTAGGTTGTTTTAGTCTTAAGTGTACCCACTACTAATGTACCAAGGGAATGTTTGGTCTAAAGAAAATCAGGCAGCCCAAACCCCTGAAGAAAGTTATACGTTGCCATAGCAACCAGACCAGCCTCAGCCTGAAGGGCAGAGTTCTTCAGATTCATCTACTGCTTCCCCAGATTGACTTCCTCCCAGCAGAATCATGTTTCCCAATCATCAACACTGCAACTGTTATTTTCCATTAAAAAAAAAGAAGTTGCAGTCTGAAGTTGATATATTTTGGCCTTTTCCCTGGTGCCATTCAATGTCTTTTTATCTCTGGAAGGTGGAAATTGGTAATGCAATCCTTTGGAACTCTCATTCATGCATTCACTAATATGGTTGGGACCTGAGCCAGTGGGGCTCGGTGGTAATTACACTTTGATGGCTGGAACATGACCTGTGAAATGAGTTGCTGGTCTCAGTTTAACTCCTAATGGACAGCAAGGCACATCTCTCAGAATCCACTCCTAGCTCCTGTTCTCAGACCCTGGGAAGAAGTCAGAGGTTTGAATAGCTTCCCTTGAGGGTAAATTGCAGGGCCTCCTCCCCAGGAATTATGCTTTACCTTTCTAGGCCACAGATATATCTGCAATTAGTCTCAAAATACTCTGTGTGATGAATGTAAATAACACAAACTGCGTTTATAGGCAGGACCACCGTGGTAGAGAGTACAAGTAATTTGCCCTGGTTGTGGGGCGGATAAGATAATTAGTAACAGCAGGAGTAGAGATTCCATTCCTTTGCTATGACCACTGAAAAATCTCCCTGTACCTCAAGAGACACAGCCAATTAATGAACAGCAGGAAGTGGGGATGGGTCAATACTTGCTGATTCATTATTAAAATTCATTTATAGTTTATGGGGCTTATTGACACATATAATTTTTCCTGTTGATGTCTCTTTTAACACGATTGAAGAGGGTGCAACTGTGTGTAGCGGGGACTGAGGCTGAGGTTAGAGACACCTGGATCTGGTGGGATGCTGTGGAAATTATAAAAGATGTAAAACACAAGCTGTCACTTTTTTAAGATGCAAAACTGTAAAGAGCAAAATAAGAGATAGATAATAGGTGCTAGTGAGAGAGAACTTTTGCAAATGGAAAGCAATAAAGAGATGGAGGCAGGGCAGAGAGGAGGGAAGGTGGAGAAAAAAGACCTAAGATGTGCTGTGCACATGCACCACCGCATATACGGGGTAGAAACGTGCTACAAGCATGTACAAAAAAATAAATAAATAAAATTTAAAAAGACCAAAAGGATTGTTGATGAAGGGAATATTTGCTTTAATTGGAATAGAAGTGTCAACATGGGCTAAGAATTGTACTAAATTGTGAAAGATTCCAGATAACCAGAACATGAGCCCAGTGCTAGCAGCTCACATTCCCAGCAGAGAGTGACAAGTGCTCTAATAATAGCATCATGGACTCTGTGGCAGGGAGAGTAAGCACAGCACTCTGAGAGGCTGAGTCAGGAGGGTTGCAAGTTGGAGTCCAGCTCCAGCAACTTAGTGGCTTGAGAAACCCTGTCTCAAAATTTAAAAAAAAGAAAGTAGGAAGAGGCTGGGGCTATACCTCAGTGAGAAGGGGCGGGCTCAATCCCCAGTGGGGGGGGGGGCAGGGGGATACCTGGTAAGGTACTTTTTGGGAAATTGGAACTGGAATTGTTTGCGCAGGTAGGAATTCAAGGCAAATCTTGAAGAAAACTTGTTTTAGGAGCCAAGAAGAGCACAAGTGAAGTCCTACATTGGAGACTATTTGCAGAAAAACACATTGACAGATGTGGCTTGAGATTTAGGGTAAACTAGGAGATGAGGTGGAGCTGAGGCCGAAAGCGTTAGTACAGGTTCAGGGAGGGGTTTTAATAAGAGAGAAGGAAATCATCCAATTTGGAAATCATCCGATTCAGAATCAAGGGTTTGAAACCCAGAGGTTTGTATGTAGTCACTGTTTTTTAGGCAATGAACTATTAGTAAAGTTATTTTTTTTAAACAAGATTCCATTAACCTAATCTATGTACTGAGATAGTACCTTCATAGATAAAGCTGAAAACATTCTGCAATTTCTGTCAAGATGTGGATATGAACTCCTTGAAAACATCCGAAGTGGTTTTATAATAGGTCCCTGTCCAAGGTTAAATGGGTTTGCACAAGCTGCAGACGGAAGAAGCACCACGGAAATGCTGACTCAGGTCTGTGGAGTGACAGCTGTCAAGTCGCAGGGCTGGAGGCATCGGGATGAGTAGCAGGGAGCTGGCTGCCTGCCGCAGAAAAGGGAGCCGAGCCCCTGACATCTCTTTCTCCGTTTTCTTTCCTGCAGGAGCAGCAATGGAAACCTGCGTACAGCAGCGTAACTCCAGTTTGCTTTCCAAGCCCTCTGACTGACAAGGCGATAGGCAAAGTAAGGATGCGTCCATTTCTCTCTGAACACTGTGATCTGAGTTGATTGGCCTCTATTTGTTTGTCTTGAGCTATCTGGGTAAAATAATCAAACTGATATCATAAAAATGGCTGATAAAATCCCAAGTTTGAACTCTGCTTGGCATTAGTGAGACTCACCCCCAGGCAGGCGGCATGTCAAGCGGAGAAGTGGGGACCAGCACCCACCTCCAGTTCTGTCCTAGCACTGTACTTCCCACCCTCCTGAAGTCCGTCAGTCTCTCCTCAGTCTTGCCAGCCTTCCCCTGCCTGTCAGAGCTTGTAAGAAAGAAAGACAGTGATCTTAGTGACTGGTGTCTTTGTGAGAAATTTAGCCATATTAGCTTGTTTTTAAATATTTGTCACTTAAGCCGTCTGGAGGGTTATAGACTTTGACTCTGGAAAGTCCAGCCAGATCTCTGACCTGCTGCTCGACTGGACTGGACTGGACTGGACTGGACTGGACTGGACTGCAAGTATAGCCACCAGGGAGTGTGGAGTCCCACAGGAAGGGTACGGGCCCTCTGGACCTGCCTTCCAGGGTTCACCTCCCAGCTCGGTCCTCTACTAGCTGTGTGGCTTTGAGAAAGTTCCCCATGGAAATGACATAAGAATGGACCTGCCTTCTGGAGGCATCACAAGGATTAAACAATTTAAATCCTCAAGAGCAAGAACTGTTTTTACTTATTTTGTTCACTGTGTGTCTGAGCACTCAATGCATTACATAAATGAGTTGAATAAATAAGAAAACAAAAGACTGAATGGTAAATGTAGAGAAATCACATCTCCAATCTGCTTAACTCAAGATATGGGAGAAGGTGCTGCGCTTCACAAAGAAAAGCAGAAGTCAAAGTCTGCAGAGCAGCTCAAGGACACTTTCCAGACGCAGCTTGACAGAAGGACTCCAGGGTTCTTGGAGACCCCCTGGCCTTCCGGTCCTTTGCTATCTGAAGACCACACACAGTCCCCCATCCAGGATGAAAAAGTCGCTGGGAAAAACAAAAGCAAATGAATACAAATTCTTTAAATAGGGCTTTTCTTTTGAATTTGTAGATACATATAGGCAGAACCAGGGGATTTTTTTTTTTTTTTTTTTTTTGAGTTTTTAAAAGGAAATGAATCTCTTTTGCTGGTTAATTCCTGGTAATTTTGTCTGGGCTCCAAACCCTGTCCAGGCAGCTGTCCACAGGGTGTGAAATCCAGGGTGACAAGAAGTCTCCCTCCCGCCCGCCTGCCCTGTCAGCATCAGCTGCTCACAATCTGCAGGGCTAGCAGGGGTGCTGCCCGAGCTTCCGCAGACCAGGTTTCTGTGCCGTGTGCAGCGAGGGGCTGCACGTCCCATCTGCTGACTTCTGCTCACAGGAGGAGCATCACTTGGCCCAAAGGTGAAACCAACCAGCCAGCAAACAAAACACTCTCTGGATGTCACAAAACGTGTTGGCAACTGTTCCAGCACACGCTCCTAACCCCACCGCTTGTCCCCTCCCGTCCCACATATTCTGACTCTGTTTATGTAGGCTCCAAATAAACCACCACTTTCCCTGCAGAGAGGAAGAGAAGTGATTTCTGAGACTGAAGTCAGAAGTCCATGAACCTCTGAGGCGTCTTTCTTGGCTAAACTGCATTTCAATCCAATAAATAGAGGGTGCTACGTTGTTTCCTAAACCTGAGGAGGAATAGGGCCCACAGAGGGAGTGTGTGGAGTACAGGACAGAGCGTAGAAGTGAATCAGTGCAGTGGGGCACTCCTGGTTTGGTGACACTCTTTTCTCTGTGGTCCTCTGGTTCTCCTGTCCCCTTGGGCCATTAGCAGGTGGGCCTTCTGTACCGCGCCACCAGGCTTCCTTGGATTGAGTGAGATCGTCCCCAAAGGACACTCTTGCTCCTTCTTTTCTCATAGCTCTGTCTTCTGAGCTTTGTACATTGGCTGTAAATTACTCTAATGAATTCATTTTGCAATCACTCTGATATCCATCCACCTGGAGGGGAAAATGACATGGAAAATAGAAGTAGAGTCAACCTTCAATTAGAAGAGGCCATGGAAGTCAGTATGTAAGGTGGGTAATTAACACCTATAATTAATTTGCTCAGAATCGAAACTGTCTTCCTCTCTTGCAAGAAGCTTTCTTGTGGGTTGAAGGCTGGAAGGGAGACCCAGCTGGGATTTCCACCACCCAAACTGTGGCCCCTCAAGCTGAGTCAGTGGTCAGTGTTGCCTTCCCACAGGAAACGGGGGTCACGTAAAAGCCCTGGTTGGAAAACAGAGCGTTCCAAAGTGAGCTACGAACCTAAAAAGAGGATATTCTGGGATCAACTTTAATAAGACAAACAGTGATAATTCTTTTTTCTTTTTAGTGGTTGTGATTGGAGGGTAGAAATAGAGAAGGGGAAATCAGGGAGCGCACAGAGAGAAACCAGAGAATTCACCTCAGGCAAGAGGCAAGCAAGCCTATTGTATGTGATTATCCACCCTCAGAAAAAGAGGAAGTTGAGTGTTTTATTTTGCATAATTGGAGTCAGCGCCTTTTGAATGGAACACACAAATTTATGTAAATAGGAATGCAAATGGTAAAAATATGTGTTTTGGGATTTCCTGGGGATAACCTGGCAATTTTGTCTTCCTTTCTTTTGCAGCTGCTAAATATTGTGTTGTGAAAGCTTGAGCTGAACTTCTCCCACCAAATCCCACAGTGTAACAGTGAGAAGGCATTGCTTTGTAACTCACAGGAGATGTTCTCTGGTAGATGAATTAAAAGGGAGTGCTTTAACATATTTAATGACGAACACATTATTCCCAAGAGGTGGCACAGGCTACCAGTGAATACAAAAAGGATTTTAGGATTTCAGTAAACTCGCGAGGCTATTGAAAGGATATCAGACAAAGACGATGGAAGTAAAGCAGAGATGAAGGGAGATATATAGCAGTAGAGCACAATTTAAATGCAAGCACCAAGTTGTTTCACAGAATTCTTATTGGTGCTACTGGCGAAGCATTGTGCAGACCATGGAAGTCAAACAGCCCAGTAAAGGGCCATGACCTCAGCAAACTACAGAGTCCTTCTGATACACAAGCAGACAGATTAGGGGCTGCCCATGACCTGGACTGTGCCAACCTGGCTTTCTCCAAACAATTTAGATGACAGACAAACTTGTCCTCCATCCAAAGAAGTGTAACTTGAATGTCTTATTGGGTTTGACCAGAAGGAAATCAAGAGATAAGCTACTTTGAAGGGTAGCAGTGTTATTAAATGGAAGTGTGGCTAAGAAAGTAAACAAGCTGCTGTAGGCCTTTTGTATTTCTGGATGGTTGCAGGGGAAACTGAAGGAAGTCACTGGATGTGGAAATATCTGGGTAAACAACAGATAGATAGAGAAGAACTGAGTGGGACACAAAATCAACAAGATAGAGAGCTGCTGTATTTCAAAGTTGGGAGGTATCCACGGAAGAAAAAAAGAACACAGCCGTTCCTTTTAACAGATTCATCTTTAGGGGTTTTTTCTTTCCGGCAGTGTGTAATTTTTATTACTCAAGAACAGTTAGCTTAGCAAATGGTCTTTAGCTTTTTAAGAACCGCCCTTTAGGTCAGAGCATGTTCCACCTCACAGAACATCATGCCGTCACTTTATAACTCAGCTGTGGTGAAGAGCACCAGCACGTAAGTGTCTCTGACTTAATATTTATGAATCAGGGCTCTCACTGACCTGAGAAAATGGAGAAGCCAACCCTAAAACTAGTCTGTGGCCTAGCACTGCTTCTAAAAGAATACTACAATTCATGAATGGAATAATCAGAAGATAAACATCCTTAGCAAAGCAGTGCATTAGAATTACTGTAGTGGTAGATAAACAGAATCTTAGTTTTTTCTCTATGTGAGTAGGGCTGATTTGACTAGAGCTCTATATACATTCAGCTTCTGGTCACTGAAGCAAAATGCATGAAACCAAGTACTTTTCCTCTGGGGCTTTTTGTGATAAGATAAAGGAAATCTCCAAGTTAAGACGTCTGCATTCTTCTAGTACAAGTAATGTAGGTTTCAGCTAGGCTTGTGTCCACCTAGCCTGAGAGCGCATTTTCAGCCTCCCTTGCATCTCCAGGTGCCCTGTGTGTCTACGTGGCTGCATGACTGGGTTCTGATTGATGGGATGTCAGTGGAAGTGGTGTGCTCAGATTGGGGTTGTGCCCTTCTTGGGAAAGTCCTGCCTCTCTTGCTGGCTGGAATACAAATGTGGTAGCTAAATCAGGAACAGCCAGATTGGACCAAGAGAAACCACATGGATGAGTCAGGGTTTCTGGTTCAGTAAATATGGACTGCTTGTCCTTGGTAAATCTGGACTGCCTGTGCTCTGATCTTGCTTAAGACAGAATTACTTATCCTTTTGTTTATGCCACAGTTCTTCAGGCCAAAGCTCCCAATGCTGGGTGACAGCCCCGTGCCAGTTGCACAGAGCAGGGGAGAGAGGGACTGCCTGTCCTGAGGGGAGTCACATAGAACCCAGGAAGGGAGAGCAGAGCCGGTACAATAAGTATCAGTTAGAGGAAGGAAGATGTTGAGTTGCTAACACCCATTTTCCAAATTCCCCCTGGATAAGAAAGGAGAGACAGAGAAGCTCGCTTCTCGCTCCGAGAGCAAGGTGCTGAGTGGGGCTGTGCTCTGCAGAGAGCCCTGTCCTTGAGTTCTGAAAGTTGTAAACTTGGAAATCGAGATCCAAAGAAATTCTTCAGGACCAAGGCAAACACATTTCTACGGAAAACCCCCAACCTCAAGAACAGTAATGGAGCCTGTCATTTGCCAAATGATGTTTCCATGGATACTTGTATGCGGAAGCTGCCCCTAACATAGAGGCTCACACAGATGTCTGCACATCTGCACTTAGCACACTCCTCTGCACTTTCATCCTCTGAAGCAGGACCCATTTCCTGGGGTGAACATCCGGGGCTCCAGCTGGCGCTTTAACTTTGTCACCCAAATTTTACAGGATGAGC